TTGGCTACAGTTTGTAGTCTTCGATGTGTAGGCAAAACAAGCCAAAAGTGTATTGGTATTTTGCCATGCGAAAATGTGAAAAAAAAAACACGAAAATATTAGAACTGGAACTCACATTATTGATAAAATCTAAACAAGCCTCGATTGAAGTGAACTTCTTGAAATTTAGTAAAACTTCCGGCTCTTCGCAACCCGACTTCTGTAAATTTTTGATGAGACAATTTTTATCATCATATTTTAAACATAAAAAGGTTGATATGCACTGAAGCAATCATTTGTGCTACAACATCTTGTGAGGTGTGTAGTAGAATTAGAAAATATTTTGTTAATCTCGAAGCTGTTAGAAAAAAATGGACTTACATCTGCTCGTTCACATACAGTTGAGTAGACAAGTTTGACTAGTGTACCTCCTGGAAAGAAACCAGTAGTCAATTTCTACATAGTATTTGCGCAAACCATACCTATATCTAATGCATATCTACTTTTCTTTATAAGTGGTGCAAAGCGTGCTTCTTCAGGTAGAACTATGAATGGTGTTGTTGGTTTTTCTCGCAAAATTGGCTGTACAGGACGGATGATTCCATTAGTGGCATCGTCTGCTCGTCTACAAAAGAATTTCATAATCATGTGATGTAAAACTTTGAGAGCAACTCACTTAAGATTAGAGTTTAGCAGCAGCTCGTCCATGATTTTGCGTTGTTTCTGAGATAAATCAGATATAATCAATCAATCTCTCAGAGGTACAACGTAACCCACAAACTTCGCAGAAAGATTTGGGACAAACAAAAAGCTAAGGTATGTCTCAAATACAAAACGACCCCATTATCTACATTTTCTAAACCAGCCAAAAGAGCTTTAATTTATTTCTAGCCATATGTTGCCAACCTTATTTGGAATGCGCATTCTTGATGCAATCGGTTCTGAATCCGATGAACCCCTGCGAAGTTTTCGATTACGTATTGCTGCACCACGTCCCATAGATGTGTAGGCTTTGCAATAGGCAAGAATGTGACCGGAAAATTACCGGAATCACACACACAGAAAAACCTCAAAAGCGAACTTTATTGAACGAAACAAGAAAGCGATAAACACGGTCAATCAACGATGGAAAATGAAGCAAAGTAAAGCATAATGAAGTGAGCCTCCAATCAAAACTGAGCGAAAAATAGATCAAAAAATACAGGACACTAGGCCAGGTGATGGGTGGATAGAATATTTGCTTTTTAATGCTCTGCAAAATCAAATTATTTGAAGAAAGTGCATGAATATTGCTTCAATACTCACAACTCTTTTTATTCTAGGAAGATAAATTCTGATGAACGACCTCAAAAGATCTTTGAAGTTTGTAAGAGAGTAAATAACGAATTATAAGATGGTCTATAAAGCATGATGAAAGTTTATAATTCGATCATCTTCTAAAGAACGTCTGATCAAATTATTCCCTCTTTGATGATCGCAGAGTTCATACCGTAATATAGGGTAACTCCCAAATACCGTCATAAGCGAACAGGATTCACATACATTTCTAGATCAACGCAAGAACAAGTATTGGCCATTGTCTTGTCCACTGAGACCAGACAATCGGTTTCATATGCGGCGTAACTATGGATGGGATGATTTGTGGCCAAAATAGTGGGGTGGTTGGTTATCGCAGCAAAGCGCGGCACCTGTCAACGTGCAGCGAT